CCCCCCCTTTTTCCCCTCACACACACCCTCTTACCCACCATCCCCCTTTCCCCTCACACACAGCCTCTTGCCCTACCCCCTGCAATAACCGTGCGCTCGATTTGCTGCATTCATCTAGTCTTCATGAAAGGTAACAGACAACAGTGTTGGTGTCACGCACAACTATTTCTATCCTTCACTTCCTAGTAGCAATACAACAACTAAACAGAGTGTTGCCTGAGTGGCGGCCAAAGCCTACTCTTATCGATTTTAGGACCACCAAGGGATCTTTAACGCGCGCAACTTGCACACGAGACCTCCAAGATTTTTCGCCCATATCAACCTACGTCTAGGTAAGTATAAACCAAACCAAAAAGAAAAAAAAAATAACAACCCAAAAGCATCACACAGGAACAGCTGTGTGAGATTTTCTCAAAGCGACGTGCTCTTACTCACAGTACTACGGACTTGTCATTTCATTACGACCATTACGCTGTGAACGTACTCGCGCCTTGAGAAACTAAGGGCACCGTCTCTTGCTGCGTTGGGTTTCGGGGAAGATCAAGTCGTGATTTGTGGCTGAGGTTTCCCCCCACAATGATGACTTCCCTGACCCAGAATTCACGCTGTTCTAGATCACGTCCACTTCTCTCCACTTTGTTTAGGTCGTTCAATAATCTTTACGCGCCGAGGCATTTCCCCCGTTCACACAGAACTCCCACAGAGATTCCGGCTATGTCAGATAGTTGCTTTTCCTTTTGCTTGTTTTTCATCATAGTAAGATCATACAGTACGGATAAAGGAGTACCACGCAGGCAGTTGTAGCCTAGAGGTTAAGGTGTTTGCCTCTCATTCAAAGGTCCTCGGTTCGAATCCGGGTAGTGACGGAACAATTTTCAGCTCTAAAATTGTCTCCTTTCACCTTCTTTTCTTCTCTCTTGCAAAATTCTGTCGAATGCTTTCGTTTCCACTTTCTTCCCCGACCTACTCACCTCCTTTGCCCTCTCCTCTTGGCTCCTGACTCTTTCTGCAGCCTTTCTACTGCTACTCCTTGGCCCCTTCTTACTGCTGTCTTTTAGCTACACCCCTGATCTTCTGGTAGGGAAGATCTACACTTAGCCTTCTCGGACAAGGGCGAAAAATCTCGGAGGGCACGTGTGCAAGTTGCGCACGTTAAAGATCCATTGGTGGTCCAAAATCAAATAAGAGTAGGCTCCGGCCACCGCCTTGGCAAAATTCAAAATTTCCTACAAAATGAAAATGTTTGGTATGTCCCGGCGGCTCAATTGACCTTATGCAGTTGCGAGCGCCGTAAAACACTTACCTAAAAAAAGATACCGAAAAGAGTAGCACATCCAAAGAAAATGGCTGCTGATAGTGACAAGGATGACAGCGCTCAACATTTTCAACACACTCAATTCAAAAAAATATTAACGGCTCTTTCACTTCATTGGCCTCAGCTTTTAGAATGGTGCGGTTAGGGCATTCATTTTGGTAGATTTTGTTTGTTTGACATGCAACAGATTCAAGTTCATTTTCAACACAGTATGCTGTGCTTGGGTACCGTACTTTAAGGGTCTTATGCCGTTAGAACACCAAAAAATTACATTTTTGTAAGCTATTGGATGGCTTCTGCATACTTAAAACAAAATAAAACAACTCTATTTTTGGTAATGATTGAGGTGGGTTAACACCCTCGTCAGGTGCCTATACTTTTCACACACATACATACACACATAAACACCCACCCACACATACCGTCTCTCTATCTCTTTCTCTCTCTCTCACTCGTTCTCTCTCTCTCTCTCTCTCTCTCTCTCTCTCTTTCTCTCTCTCTCTCTCTCTCTCTCTCTCTTTCACACACACACACACACACGTATGTGCGTGCGTCACGTGCGTGTGTGCGTGTGTGCGTGTGTGCATGCGTGCGTGCGTGCGTGCATGCGTGTATGTGGAGG